ATGACCGCACATGAGGACAGCACATGAGGACAGCACGGGAGGCAGCACATGATGACAGCACGTGATGACCGCACATGATGACCGCACACGATGACAGTACATGATAACCGCAAATGATGACAGTACATGATGACCGCACATGATGACAGCACGTGATGACAGCACGTGATGACAGTACATGATGACTGCACAAGATGACAGCACAAGATGCCATCACATGATGACTGCACATGATGACAGCATATGACATCACATGATGACAGCACATGATGACCGCACATGATGACCGCACATGATGACCGCACATGATGACAGCACGTGATGACAGCACGTGATGACAGCACATGATGACAGCCCATGATGACAGCACAGCGTGGTGTGATCCCAAACTATTGACGGTAGTACAATAATGATCATCTCATGCAGTCATAAAGTCATACAGTCATAAAGTCATACAGTCATACAGGACTCGGGGCACAGGAATTTTTATGTAAGGGGATGGCAGTGCTGAGGAAAATGCTCATAAAATGTGATTTATCAACACGACGATCCATGGGTACTTCTATGAGCGCTTCTCTCTATGAGTACTTCACTTTATGAGTACTACTCTCTATGAGCACTTCTATCTATGAGTACTTCACTATGTGTCAATGTAAACGTGCTGGTGTCAGTTCATATTTCGATGTAAAATTGTGATGTGAAATATCTTGAAATTAACGGCATTTCTGCTTATTAGAATGACTACTATATAGCTTGACTTGATGCCGCTTGAGGCGAATTCTCACAAGCCTCCCCTTAACACACACAAAGATAATTTATTTAATATTATAATTTTAGGCAACTTTAGTTCACAAAAGTGCCACCCGGGGCTGTCGCCCCCTAAGCACCCCCTCCCAATAGATTCGCCAATGCTCATGCAACTATACATGCAGGTAACGTCAGTTTATCGGTCATCCCTATGTCCACTCATGTACAGTTTACAACACTGCCTCCGTAGACTTAGAAAACCCAGATAACAACAGAACCGCAACCTAAGATGCACGGACATCAACCATCATCAATAGTTAATGTGGAAAAACTTGAGGCCGCTGCTCGCAGGAAGACCCGATACAGCCCCGACTGCTCGCAGGAAGACCCGATACAGCCCCGACTCTGCCTAGGCAGCATCGTCGTCATGCCAACCCTTCTTCTTATGTGTACTAAGCACACGACATTTTTAATCACGACTCAACAGTAGAACATAAATTTTTTTTAAAGTAGAGTTCTGAGAGTATTAGAAATACAACACCTCAACAGCTAATACATGTGACCACGCTATGGAGCCAGTGTTCATTTATCTCCCGTGGTATAAAGTAAATAGTACAAGTACAACATACATCAAGAACATAGTGTATGCCAGTGTGTGTTCCTGTTAATTATATTTCATACAGAAAAACTTTAAAAAATTTTGTTTAAAAAATATTATAACATAATCGTGTCCCCGCCCACACCATCAGCCCCGCCCATCAGAGCACTTACAGCGCGTGTTCTGAACTCTGAACTCTTGTGAAAATTGTGAAGGCACGAAATGCAATCTCAAGTATAAATAGAATGTAGTGAAACAATAAATGTGGAATACAACTTGTTCAGCAATTTCAATTTTAGAGGGCAGTGGAGGTGTGGGGGGGGGGGGCGGTTAAATAATATAAAAAGTACATAATGTGTATGTCTCCTGAAAATTTGGTTCAATTATCTTTCAAAATGAAAATGTTGTGGGCGAAATAGTGCAGAAAATTGAAATGTGGGTCACAAGATTTGGGGGCAAAATATATTAATTATGAAAGGAGCTTTAAAAAATCAACAAGAAAATTAATAAATCATAAGACCACCTCTGCTATAAAAAAAAATATAGAATTGATATTTTTTGTAAAGCCTTTTAGCTAGATTTTAATTTGATATATCTTATAAGACTTTTACTTGTATGGCAATCTTTTTAAAGAGTAACTTAAAAAAAAAAACAGAATGAATGAATGAACGATTTTATATGAAAAAAAGTTTTTAAAGACAAAATATAGCTAGAGACTCAGAGTCAGAGTCAAAAGGTGAAGTAAAAAAAAAAAAATGACCACTCTAACATAGAGTTAAAATTGTTTTATAAACTTACCGATGACTGCAACAAGTCCAGTTAATATCCATGTCATAGGCCTGCACTTCATGACCGCAAGGAATAATAACAATCACAGAATTTACTGAGGTAAAAAAAAACAAATTAACCGCTAGGAAAAACAACGGAACTCCTTCACCACAGGTAATAATAATATTCCATGTGTGCGAGACACATTCGAATCAACACTGTGAAGCGGTTTTAGAGAACAGCGCTCACGACACTTTTGAATTTTTCGGTCATTTCCATCCAAGAAAGAAAAAAAAAACAATCAAATACAATCAATACGACACTACGCCTCTCTCGACATCCATCCATCCATTCTTCGATGAACCAAGCAGACGGCACTTTTTTCCCTCAGCCTCTCTTCGTTTGATCTGATAATCCAATCAAATTGCCCGTCTCTGATAGCTGGGCCAATCAAAATGCTCGGCTTAGACGAGTCGCAAACGCAAGAAAACAGAAGAGCTCATCGTGATGTCACCTGCGATTTGATTATAATTTTCTTACAAATTTATTAATTCATAAATATGCGTTAAACATTTTCAATTGTCTTTTTTTTTTTTGTAAACAAGCAATTTGTTTGTTTTAAAGATTTAATTTAGTCTTCTGGGAAAGTATGTAAAAATTATTTTTAAAAAGGGTTTAATGGGTAGGGGAAGCTACAAGATTTTCTTTTAACGACCGAGTGTGGTGTATATTATTTCCCTTAGCATCAGTTCATACGATCAAATTCCTTTCAAATTTGCATCAAATTCAAATCTTTGTATGAACGCACTATTCTGTGCGTGGTTTGTTTGTTTACTAAAATCAGAATTTGATCAAATAGTAATTTGAAAGTTGCGACAAGGCCTCACACAAAAACTGCATCAAATGTATGAACGAACATGTGAAAGGAATTTGATCGTGTGAACTGACGCTAATTAATGGGCGTTTACAGAACAATTAGTGTTTTAATTATTCCATTACGGCAACGCGACCACTTCCTTCATCATCTCGGCAACCATAATTATTTTTATGTTTGATTCACAGTGACGAACATTTTTTTTGTATATTACCTTTTGTTATCTGAATAGAAAAACAAATGTAATATTTCCAAATGTATACTCTCTCTTTCACACCATACCAATGAATTATAAATTCCTTCATCTTCCTTGTGCCTCCCTTACTTTTTCAAACTTTTAGAAATTTTAAAACTCACTGCCCAACCAATTGTGAGAACTGGATGTCGTGATGGCTGGAGCATTGTGAGAACTGGATGTCGTGATGGCTGGAGCAGGTTTTAGTAATGAACAAAAAAGATTTAAAGAATATTTGATTAAGAAAATAAGTTAAAAGCAACAAAGATCATGAAATGAAAAAGGCAAACAATTTATTCATTTCTTTGTGTGTGTGTGTGTGTGTTCAACATCTGATTGCAACAGTTCATCTGTAAATTTGATAAATATTTGCTAATCACCACTTTGGTGCCTGATGACAGCATACACAGCTTTCAAGATTATACATATGTAAATATTTCTTTTATTATTCCAACAGGTAAGACATGGTTAAACACCATGCATCACACAGCAAAACAACTTAAACTTTGCATAAATATTGCAAAAAAAAATTTAAACGAAAAAAAAAAGAAAAAGAAAAATTGATGCAAAATTGACCCAGCTAATGGCACGGTTTACAAATGCATGTAACTCCTCTGATGCAGACAGGGTATTTCATGAAACTATTCAAATCATCTTCTCATGTGACCCAATGGTTTATTACCATACCCAGGTTTAAACATGAAAGGCTATAAAGTATTTGTCTCAGCTATGCTAACACTCCACTGATCCTTTTATAAAACCTACAGTCAAAAAAAAAATAAAAATAAAAAATAAAAAATAATAATATATCTTCCTTGCTATCCAAAAATCCTGAAATTAACAGATTCACAAATTTTTTTTTAAAAAAGAAATCTAATTCCAAAGTATGATCCTAATAAAACAGCTTGCTCATCAAAACTGCTTTGCTGGCACACTCTATATCATACAGTCTCAACAAGGACATTGCCATTATTTTATTCTAGGACTAAAATCTCAGGATGGTACGAGGCCGGCATCCCTGAGCTTCTGGACCAGCTCCTCGACACTGCCCAGTTTGGAGCCAGCCTGCCTGGTCAGCGGCTCGTCCACCTTCAGAACCTGCTGTGTGGAGGTCAGCTCGACGCCATAATCTTTAGGTGTCTTTTTCACCAGGGGTTTCTTTTTGGCTTTCTGTGGAGGTGGGGTGTTGGAAAATATAAGGTTAGCCAAAGAATACCATGACCACTGAGATTAACACATGATGACTGATCAAAAAGTTTAATGTCACATTTAAAATTATACAACTCAACGTATATACTTAACTTATTTATTCATAACTAACTATACATGATATAATTCATTAGAAGTATGCTTCATTGAAGATTTATCTTTAAATATTTCTAGTGTATCAATACAGATAACATAAAAAGGCAGGGCACCATATAGGTCCAAAGACACAGATTTCAATTTTTTTTAAAAAGAGAAAAAAAGGAAAAAATAGAAAAAAAAAGAGAAGAAAAAATAGAAAAGAGGTACACAAAAAAAAAGAGAAGAAAAAATAGAAAAGAGGTACACAAAAAAAAAGAGAAAAAAAAGAGAGAGAGAAAAGAAAAAAAGAGAAGAAAAATAAAAATCGCAAAAAAGAAGAAAAAAAGAGAAGAAAAAAAGAGAAGAAAAGTATAATTTTTATTGAAACATGTCTCAGTTCCTTGTCTACATTAGTATCAGGTTTTCTAGTTATGTGAAGTGCACTAAATGTTTTCTCTATTTTTCTTCTTTCAATTTTGAATGCTGCAGACAACCTACACCCTGACCCCAGTTGACATTATGATCACCTCACATTCAAGAACTAGCCAAGAGTGTCCTGCCCAGTGTAAGGCATTGCACACTAAGGGCACAGAATAAAATGCCCAGCAGCAGCTATTCTGTGCAGGAGCTTAAAATAACACTTGTAGAGGTTAAAGTTTTTTAAAAAATGTGCAGTTCCTATTTTACTACCTTACACTTACAGGAGTAAATGAGTTTACTATTACTGATTTGAACAAGAAAACTGTTTTGAAGAATTATACAATTTTTAGTCAGTTAGTATTTACTTTACTTACAGTGTTTATTTCTATTTTTATACAAGGAGACAGTAATTATACTGCATTGCACTGTACTTATACTGTGATTATACTGCATTGCACTGTAGTTATACTGTGATTATACTGCATTGCACTGTACTTATACTGTGATTATACTGCATTGCACTGTACTTATACTGTGATTATACTGCATTGCACTGTACTTATACTGTGATTATACTGCATTGCACTGTACTTATACTGTGATTATACTGCATTGCACTGTACTTATACTGTGATTATACTGCATTGCACTGTATTTATACTGTGATTATACTGTAATTGTACTGTGATTACACAAACTACACTGTCAAAAATAAAATAAAAAGTTATAAATTATCTTTATTCATTATCTAATAATCTATAGACGAGGTTCTTAACCAGTGGTTCACAAAATCTTTGGTTGGGTCTGAGAAAAGGTTTCACAGGGGTCTGCAAGTTGCATATCCTTTGCAAATGTATTATACCTATTTAAAACTTTACTTTAAGAGAGGACCCACGGCCTACATCTGACTGGTAAAGGTTTCAATGGAGAAAGAAAAAAAATCACTGAGAATCTCTGCTATAGAAAGTATATTTCTTTAAGCACATTTTAATTTTATTATACACCATATCTTACTGTGAATACTGCATTTTGCTTTTAAAAAAGCCCTAAACGGACATGTCCAAGTAAAACGTCACCTGTTAATCTTGGTCCATGATACTACTATAGGAATTATCTAAATAAATATTTATTTCTAGTGAAAATATCAAAATTTGTTAATTTATCACTGTGATATTTCTGTTTCTGGTAGGTTTGGTTACAATAGGAACATATTTAAAGATCAGTTTTAGAACGCTAGTGACAATTTCTGTTTCTCACAAACATGACCGCCATCTTGTTGGTTTTTTGGGGTTTTTTTTGTATATTTAAAATGAACTGTTGTCATACTGAAACAACTTTGCTGATCAAAGGGGTGCTACTTGCATAACTTTTGTGATGTGCAGATACCATGCACCCTTGTTCACCGAATGCAAGTGGACCAAGAAGATTTGGTTGCATTAGAACCCAAGACATTGTTTACCAATAATGAAAAAATCTTATATGCGCGTACAGGGCAAACCCCTATCTTTACGTAGCATATTTTACCCTAAATTTCTCACACTGTTATGTGGTAATATACGGCAGTTAACCAACATAACAGGTAAATAATATTTTAACAACTTTGAAGATGACTCTACTGGCAACATAAATTTCAGGAAGTCTTTGAAGATGTAAATAATAAACAGCAAAAATTTGAACACAAGTTTTTGGCATGTTGACAACAAGCGTTCAAGTATGGATGTGTGGGCATCTCGGGATACACCTGGCTTTTTTTTTTTGCTACCTACCATGATGTTTGGAAGTGTGGCGTAGCGTGGCTCATTGAGCCGCAGGTCAGAGCTGATCACAGCAGGCAGCTTAACACTGATGGTCTCCAGGCCCCCGTCAATCTCTCTTGTCACCTTCAGGTTGCCGTCAACCTTCTCAATCTTGCTGGCAAATGTGGCCTGGGACATGAGACAATATAAAGCATGGTTTTTCAACACCACATGAACTGTCTATCCTTGATTTGGAAAGTTTATCAAAATCGCATGAATTCACAACTGGCTAACGGGGCTATTGACTTCATGCACAAATTTTCTCTCGTGGAACAGTACAAATTATTTTAATCACACATATAACCTCTTTTATCAGTTTCAACATTTTTTAATGAGAGTGAAAAAAATTTGTAATTTCTGACGCATAAATTTGAGTAGCTTGCAGTCATGGGTGCAGCCTAATTTATTTTAACACTGCCACGTTAAGAGTTGCTTTTGTTTGATTACTTTTGGCTGCCTTTCTTTTTTTATTCTGATAAAAAAAATTTTAAGGCATTACGCTCTGCATCATTCAAATGCTCAGCACAACTGGAATATTTAAGAGTAGTTCTAAACTTACCTGGGGCCAGTTCAAAATTCCTGCAACCATCTGAGCAGTCTGATTGGCATCATCATCTATGGCCTGGTAGAAAAGTTTTGTATTAAAAAAATGGATAAGTCTTTAGTTTTTAATTATTAAAAAAACTGAGTCATGGAAAATAAAAACAGATATGATCAATTTCAGGTTAGTATGCACAGACTATATTTTTTAGCCAATTCAGTACCAAATAGTGGATTTCAGGAACAATTTGAATTTTATTCATTTAACTCTTTACGTTACTTGAATTTTTCATTATTTTCTGAAGATTTCTAGTGATGCCACAAAAAGAGTCTATATCATAAAGAGTTTTAGTCTAAAGTTCATGATGTTATATATCAAATTGTAGGGAAATGCATGGTGCTTTTAGTAATTAATGTTTCTTAAAATTTGAGTTAATTACTTTGAAGTTGTGATAAACAAAAAAAAAAAATTTTTTTTTTGAAATTTAAACAAAAATATATTTTTTTATTAGATACAAAGAAGGAAAAAAAATGTATCAAGAATTTTTTCAAAAAAATGATTTATTCAGAAAGGAAAATCATTTTTGTATGCAATACAAAGAATTCAAACATTTTTAATGGCATGTTATGACAATATGAAAGATTTTGAAAAATGTATTAACAAGGGGAAATAATTTTTAAAAAATCAATAGACCACCCCTTCACAACTTGTTAATAAGAATAATTTTATTTTACAAGTTTATAAATATTTATACCAAAGAAAATATACATGTGGTCAATTTAAACTTTATGATACTCTACAAGACAGTTTCTTGTCTTATTAAAACAAAGGTAAGTTTCACAGGTGCTGCATTTGATTGTGGACTTTTTTTGCATCCCCAATTTATAACAAAGCTTACAATTTCTGTATAAATGTGTGCACTCAGGGACAATTGGATGCACTGCCTGGTATTTTGAGTTGCTAACATTTGTGGCACTTGGAACTTCCTCAGTTTTTTGTAATCCACCCAATGTTCTAATAAGTTCCTCGGTGAAATCAATTTGTAGGTAGCGGCTAGGCCGCTTTAGTTCCTCAATGTCAGGATTTTCTTTTCTCCACTCCTGAAAAAAAATGTAACTGTTCACCCTGGCAATGTCGACAAAATGGAAGAAAAAGGTTTTCCAGTACTTTTTTGTTTTCCTTAGTGTGTTATTTATTAACTGGTCACTTTTATCTACACCACACATGAATGCATTGTATGATTTTACAATGTTAGGTTGTCTCACTAATAATTGTCTGAAAACACCATCAACTTTGGTTCTCCTCTTTACAAAGGAAAATCCATTAGCTGTCATATAATTGGAAACAAGAGAGACTGTCTTATTGTCTCTCCATTGAACAGTTAAAACTTCATCCTCTCTAATCCACCTCATATCTCCTCTCTTTGACTTTTTTTCATAACTTTTAATGTCTTTTAGTTCATTAGGAAAACCTTTCCTATTTTTCAAAATGGTACCACAAGCAAGTATTCCTAGTAATAACAGATCTTTCTTTGAGTAATTTATAACCACTGTAGAAATTATCAAAAAAAACACTTGGTAGCCTTGGTTTTTAACAGATTTGATAAGGTTCATTACTACATCATAGGCCAAGCCATTATTTGATGATTGGGTTTGCTTCCCTAAATACACATCAAAATCATAGGTGTAGCCTGTTATTGCCTCTGCTATGACCCAAACTTTCATACCCCATTTCGTTGCCTTGTCCCTTATGTATTGTCTGAATGTGTATCTCCCTTTGTTTTTTACCATGCGTTCATCTATCGATAGCTGTTGGCGATGCTGGTAAAGCTTCTGACATTTTCTTCGTATAAAATCAGAAAGAAATCTAACTTTGAATAGTTTGTCCTCCTTATTCTCTGTTTCAATGTTTGAAACTTTGAGGAATGTCATTATTTGAATAAATCTTTTTCTGGTCAAAAAGGCTCTGGCCCAAAGTCCATGGTACAAAGTTGACGTAGACCAGTATTTTTTAACACTGGGGACCTGTACAATTGACATGTACATAAAAGGAGCCCTAGAAATTTGTAAAATTCCTCTGCTGACACATCATACCAACCACTGTAGATTGAAGGCTTAGTAGGCCCCATGGTTGAGGCATAGTTTTTGGGGTACTTCACAAATGTTTCCACTAAATCCAAAGTAAAAAACAATTTGAAAAAGTCTTGAGGGTCTAGAAATTGCCTCACTGTGTCCCTTGTTGACATTTCTTCCCTTAGATGTAAGCCTGGCTTTCTGGCTGGGAGAAACTTGGGAATAGGAACTGGTGGGCCATCGTCATGAACATCATATGAGTTTACCCTGTAAATATAAAAGAACAGATATTATATACTTATATGCTACTTTTAGGATTGCAATGAATAAAAAAATATGTACCTCAATTTAATTTCAAGTTTGTGTACTTTCAATTCTGTCTGAAAACCATTATGACTACAAAATTTATTGTCAGTACATTAAAATTTAAAAAAAAAACACATTGATGTCAAATTTCTTGTCCTGTATGATAAAATATATATTAATAACCAGTGCCGACTGCATTGTTTACATTCCTTAGCAACAGTTTCTAAGAATAACGTCTTCTAGAAAAATAAATGTAATAAAATATTCACATGTTAAAAAAAATTTTTTTTTGCGTAGATTCATTTAAAATTGGCTAGTAAATATTACAATATGCTTTAAAAATACAATTTAAACCGATTAAAAAAAATAATTATAAGAAATCTAAAAAAAAAAAATTTGAATGACGAAGCACTGGATTACTAACCTTCTAGTGTTAACAGGTAAAATCGGCTGCAACGGAAGATTATCATCAAAATCTGAATCATAGATTCATGTGAACCTCGAACTCGCAAAAAAAGCAAGAAAATAATTCAAAATCTTTAACTTTTATTTTTTTTTTTTACATTTTGCATCCAATTTTATTATCAAATAACTATAGAATACTTTTGAAAGAAAAAAAAAGACATAATTTTATGAGCGAAAAAAACCTACGTAAGAAGTTGTACGCTCTCTATATAAGAGGAATGAAAAGAGTTAAAGTCAACACATCAGCTTTGATGAAGACACAAAATATAACAAGTTTGCATCAGATTATCGTTAGCATTACTGTGAACTTCAATGCAAAGAGGAAAAACACAGAACTTCAAACCTAACTAAACGTCACAGCAGATTTTTAAATGCAAGCCACGTTGGACTGGGCATATCTTCTGGGAGACTATTGTATGCCCCAAACAGACTTCCATAGTGTACTGGTGCAAGGGATAATGAAATAAAGGAGCTTCCAGCTCAACTCCAGAACAAGATCATCAGCTTGGATAAGAAGAAAGTGCATGGGAACTGCTGGCCTGTGATGGAGATGATTGGGAGATCCTTAGCAAATACTGCCACCCAGACACTTGAGTCTCACTGGCAAAGAGGCACTTGAGGAGAAGCGCAGACAAAGAAAGCAAGCTGCTGACCTCCCTACAGTAGATTAAAGCTTTGGCTGAATCAAAGATATAGAGTCTGTGAGACCAGAATGAAGGCAAGCAAAAAATTCAGACATAATAATGTTTGGCTCTAAAATTAAAGTCTATACAGACCTAATAATGTTTGACTATGAAGTTAAAGTCTATACAAACCTAATAATATTTGGCTATGAAGTTAAAGTCTATACAGACATATTAATGTTTGGCCATGTAATTAAGGTCTATACAGACATAATAATGTTTTTATGTTTGGCCATGTAATTAAGGTCTATACAGACATAATGTTTGGCTATGAAGTATATACATCACTCAAAAAAATATACACTGCAAGTTGCAGGTGATCATTTGAGACAAAAACAAAATTAGTGAGCATTATTATTCCAACCTAATTTTCATTAAACCAGACCCTTTAAATCTGTGTACAGCTACCTGCTTTCCTGTGAATACAATGTCAGCCTTCTCTTCTTGAGCAATCTTGGAAAGTATTTTTGCCACGTGTAAGGGCAGCATTGTGTCATAATTCTTGGCATCAACTTCAACATGGATGGCTCGGTCAGCTCCCATAGCCATGGCTGTCCTCAAAATTTCCTGGGGTTTTTTTTTTGGCAAATAAAATTATTAGTAATCCATGTTCAAATGAATAGTTTGCATACAACCCTTACAATAATTTCAAACCATATATTTATTGAAAAATTTTATATTTTATTATGTGTTACTTGAATCAGGCACACACTGGCCTTCACATCCATGCACATTTTTGGATTAGCTGTGTAATGGACCAGATGGCCATGTAATTACTTGGGTATCAGTTTTAACAATTAAAAATGTTAATTTCATCTCTGCATTATTCAAATGAGCCTATCAAATCATCAACAGGCGAGTAGTTTCCCCAGTAAAAACATGACTTAATCCAACTTGGTAATCTCAAGATACATGATTTGGTTGCTTTATTAATGCAATGAAAACATGGGTGCAGCACCTACATCTCAAAAGTTTATGCTTCATAGTGAAGACAAACCATAAAAGAAAGAATAACTGCGCTATATAAGACCACTGAAGTAATAATAATAATATATCTTCCTGAACTTTTACCCATTCAAGAAAAAATTTCACTAACACTACTCAACTTATTCATTCAAATTTAATTTAATATAAAAGAACAACAGTTCATCAAATGTACTAGTTGTGATGCAAATGTAAATGTATACCTGGCACTGAGCAGGACCACAAGAAACTGCAACAACTTCAGAGACAATCTTTTTCTCCTTCATCCTCACTGCCTCCTCCACGGCTATCTCATCAAAAGGGTTCATGCTGTGCTTCACCCCATCTGTGACAACTCCAGTTTTGTCTGGTTTAACTCGAATCTTGATGATGGAGGAAATTAAAATCAATTGAGAAAAAAATGCAAATCAAATTTCAGAATGAACTTTTGACGAAATGAAAATTTCACTGTACTGTAACAGCTGTAAGTAAATGCTCTGTCTCACGGCTCAACATTGTACCCAAGTGGTAAACAGTACTCTTCCTGGCCACTCTTGTTCTGACTACTACTAGGCCTAGTTACTGACTAAACATTCCAGAGTTAAGAATGTAGTTAAGAGCCATACATACACTTATTTTGTCCGTTTCAATTCTCAATGCAATATGCAACACAATTAACAACAAAACTTTAAAATAGCACCAAAACTCTTTATTTTTTATAATTATATTTCAGGGTATGTTAAAAAAAAATGAACAGAATAATAGGAAAAATTATTATTTATAAAATAACAAATATTTTAAATAATTATGTCATGACTTATGTGCTTCAGTTAAATTATCTATTCTTAAATTTATAAACATTAAGTAGAAGTCTTTTTAAAAGATAAAATTGAATGCATGAGATTATAAATAAAAACTACTAATATCACCCATATGACAAATACCAGCATACCGGGTATGTCTTTAAATTTTAAAAAGGTAATAGGGATATTCTACCTGTCATTTTTTATTCTAGGTCTTATGGTGAATACACAATCTCTCCTTCATAAACTTTGTCTTTGTCAATGGAAGGAATTCCACAGAGTTCTTTAATAGAAAATTTAATTTTCTCTTGTGTCTGAATGAAACCTAGAAATAACATCTAATCATATCCTGAATCTACAAAATCTCTGAACTTATTATTATTACTTTGTAAATATTATTCAAGTTTTTTTGTTTAGTAAAACTAATTTCTTTTACTTTTATTTTATTAGAAACATTAATTATTTGTCTATGTAGATTGTCTGTGATTTATAATTAAATGCCTTATTAATTTTTAAAAAAAAAATACTAACTTAAATTAGGTCTTTAAGTGTAAATGCAGTTGCATAGAATAGTATTATTAGTTTATTAGTAATACTGGTACTGTTATTATCATGCATAGGCCTATTAAAATATACACTTTAATATTAATATAGTAAAAATAATTATAGGATTAATGTCACTAATGAAAGAATAGCAATTCATATTATTAAAAAATTATTAAACTATGATTGTTTCAATAAAGAAGATCGGATAAATGTTTAGGTATAGGCCTACACGCATAAAAGTTTTTAACTTAAATTGATACAATACATTATGTTACATATTATTATTGTATAATTTTTTTATGTAAAACAAGGGACAAAACTACCCTGAAATTCAACTGACTACACAAACTAAAATTAGTAAAAACTCTTTAACTTACAAACTTACTGGGTTGTATTAATTCATGATATTATTAAAATATTATAGTTAAACTGTTTCCCATTAAAACTGATAAGTGTTCCACAGAGTTTAAAGATAAATAATAATGGTCATCTTTTTATGTCACATGTGGAGAGCCATTTCCGACAACCCGATTGGGAAGGGGGGAAGAGGGGGGGTGTAATTGGTGAAAACTCACATTTTCATAAATACTGAGATTTCCAACTTTTTTCAGAAATTGTTATTAACGAAATAAAATTAGTCCTGTTTGTGAATAAATAAAGCCCTAGCTCTGTAAAGTGCTATGTTCTGCAAGTTTGCATTAAAAAATAATAACCTATTAAAGACATACCGGTAAATAAAAATATTAAATAGGATATTTGTCACAAAATACACAATGCTGCAAAAATGATATCACAGTGTTTGGAAAAATATGCATACTATGTTACTGATGATAAAATAATTTTATAATTAGAAAACTGTGATGTAAAATGCAAAAAAACGAGACGAGATGATCACCAAGACAAAAATTAAATGTTTAAATGGCCTCACAAGTTGTTTTGTTATTTTTCAATATGCGCGATAGGTATAAGGTATATGGGAGTGAGTTTTGTACCTACATACCGATAATATTCATCATGCATGCCACTCATTTCACTCATATAAAAATCAATACCATGCATAACAGACAAAGTCAAAGTTTAGTAGTATCAGTATTAGTATTAGTGTTCAGTAGTAATGGAAAAAAATTAATTCATTTTATTCATTACTATGACGGATCAGTTCAGCCCCTGCCTCTAAATATATTATATTTATATATATATAGATTATAGATTATAAGTGATTTTAAAAAATTCAACAACAAAAATTTCATATTCATAAGTTATGACTATGAACTATGACATTGATTGAATTGATGTAACTCCACTTGTCTTAAGCCTAAGCTTTTTAACAAAAAATATATGATTAATTAATAATATAAATATAATGATTATATTTATATCTTTTACTTGGCACTTGGTAATTATTAATTATAATTTTAACTGTTCTATAATAAATGTCCAGCTTTACCTTCACAGCATAGTCTATAACACGTTTACATCCTACAAGGACTCGCAGACCAGACATGTTTCTCTTGGGTATTCTGGACTTTGAACTGTTATTTCGAACCCCAGCTGATTTCACTACTAAAATCAGTTCAGCACTAAAACAGGTCGTCCTTCTGGATAGTATTTTTAGGATTCTCTAACAAACGAGATATTAATTTGACTAAGTAACAACACTGAGATAACTTTACAAATCCCACATTTTTTAAAATAAAGAAGAAATTATCTTAATTTAGATAAGCTTAGAGTCCGAATCTCTTTAAAAAATAACTAAGGAGAACTACAATTTAAATGGTTATACATTTTATTTTAAATGATGCGAACCTTTTAAATAAAATATTAAATAATTAATTGAAATGAAACAATAAACATTGTTTTGATACTTTGATAGTAGTTTTTAAATTTCCAAAATATCAAAATTTGGATTTTCGAAAATGCATATACCTATGAAATAAAAGTGAAAGTAATTGTCAAAAATTACATTAATTAATCTTTATTTTTTTCCAAATTTTAATTACGGATAATATAGATTGTATAAGAATTCAAATGCTTAGATTTTCAATTTTTTTTAAACTCTTTGACTTTAGTTTTAGCTTATCAGCCGTGCAGCTACTAGTCTAATACTACTACTACTACTAACTAACTGCTACTACTTACCTTGCTGACTTTTTCTGACTTTTCTACTTTTCAACTTACTAATTTACTGCCTTACTTACTACTACTACTACTACTCCTACTAGAGTCCTAGACCTAGAGGGATAGTGCCTAGTAGTGCTAGTAACTTTACTAAACCAACAAGCAGAAGCAATTATCAGCAATTATTGATGACAATTATAAATTAAGCAATAATAACAATGAGTAATAGTAATAGTAATGTTAATGCTTAATGTGGTGTATGATTCATTATTTTTTGTTTAAATTTAAGTATGAAATGAGAGTCAAGTTCAATTATTTTCAACATATCAAAATCAAGGCAAAATTGAAATTGGCCCAATTGTTTGAGTGGCGATCAGCCACTTGAATTTATTTTGAATTTTAGAGAGACTGATTATCTCCTGATTATTGAATTTATTGAAAAGTTGAGCATTACCACTAAAAAATCAAGTTCTAAACTACTACTACACTGACTCTACACACCATAGTCAAAGTTCACAGTGAATCATACTTAAATACAAGCCTAAAATCTAAAGTTAAAGCCTTAATAATACCATATCTTGTTACTAATGTTACACTCTATTTAATTCCCACGGTATGAATGTAATCCCCATATATATCCAACACCCATAGTTGTGTTGTTTGTAACATGAAATGTTAATATTTTCAAAACTATTACAAATGTTTTTATCTTTAGATTTATTCTAAAAGATGTCATCAGAGCTGTCATATGAAGCCTCAGATGAAGCATCAGAAAATGAACTGCTTGATAGGAGTTTATCTGTATGGCGCGGCTGGAGTGCAATCGAGTTGGAGGACTTCACACCTATTGCTCTGGATATTCATACAGCCTGTAGTATAGGACAAACTGATTGGGTGCATTCAATTATTCACAAGTAAATTTTAGAAAATTGTCATCATGAAGATTTATTCTTGTAATATAAAATTTTTTAATTAAAATATAACAGGCTAGATATAGTGCTGGGAGTTGCAGTAGTGCACGTTTCAACTCAGGAGCCATGAAAAGTGACAGGCTTTGTCCCAAATGAATATTTATTAACATTAAAAAGAAAGAGAAATGCCTATTTTGTTTGTTACAGAAACTTTGTTACAGAAAAATCACAAATAGAAATATAACACAGCATATAGAACAAACCCATATTATTTTTCTTCATATGCATTAAAATGGAAGTTTTAGTGTGCTCCCCATTTCTCTGTATTTATATTGGCCAAAAGTTTTTAATACACTATCACGCAAAATTGTTTTTTTTAATGGAAATTTATTTTATTTATATTGAATGCTTTTTCTCGCATCGCGTCTGAAATCGCTTGCATTATATTTTTCTTCAGAAATGAAGGTCAAATTGACAGAAAGAACTATGGGGGCTGGACACCTTTAATGTATGCTTGCTATATTGGCCATGATGATATTGTAAATCTTCTAATCAAGTATGGTTGTAATATGAACATGAAAAATCCTAGGGGTCACACGCCACTCATGTTGGCAGCCAGCTGTGGTAATGAAGGAGTTGCACGAACACTTGTACGAGTAAGTATTCAACTTCAATATTCTCAAAGTTATGTAATTCAAGTATTCAACTTCAATAGTCTCAATGTATATAATACAAGTATTAAACTTCAATAATTTGAATTTTATGTAATTCAAGTATTCAATTTTCAATAGTCTCAATTTTATGTAATACAAGTATTAAACTTAAATAGTTTTAGTTTTATGTAATTTAAGTGTTCAATTTCAATATTCTAAATGTTATTTAATTAAAATATTTGAATTATTACATTTTGAGATTGCTTTTTTCAGTTTGCTGGTAATATTATAAATGTAAGCTTTATTCATGCATTACATATTTTGACAATATAATATTTTTTACTCAGTAAAATTTAGACAAACTACATCTTGTCTTGTATATTATAAATGAATTATACTATATTTGCCCAATCAATAGAAAAATGCCCAGCTTGAGGTAACAGACAAGATCGGGTGGACTGCCCTGTTCCACGCCACCTATGCTGGACACCAAAATTTCGTAGCGTTCCTGCTTCAGATAGGTTCCAACATGGATGCCATGTGAGTTTGTATGAAATACATTATTAGTAATAACTTCAGTTGCTGAATGAAAGTAGCATATCTAGATCGGCATGTTATTAGAATCAAATACATGAACCATTATTAATTCTAGGATCTATGAGCTGATTGTCCATATCAGGGGTCATTAATCATACCCCTGTGAGTTAAAAAATCAGTTTTAATAGCAGTTTTAATCTTTGGGGGTTACAGAAATATTTTTTTGAAATCAAGAGGGAGGGTGGGGGAAGTGGGGGTGTTGCAGTGCCAGAATTTTTTTTTAAGAAACCCTCTTCACACCTTCTAATTTTTTTTTATGTTTAAAATCCTCAAGTGAACCCAGTACGGGTCAGACCCCATTTATGGTTGCTGCATCTGAGGGACATGAGATTATTGTGCAACTGTTTCTTCAACAGGTAGATTGTTGTTTTGTTTTGCTTTATTTAAAATGTGATTTACTTGGGGCTCAGTTGTAGCAGATTCTCATCTAAAAATTATCAGCTATTCTACAAACCATCAGGTATTCTACAAACAATCAACTAATCTATAAAATATCCGCCATTCTACAAACTACCAATTATGCTATGAATATTTGTAAACCAAAGACAAGGGTTGCTAGTTATCCCTCACAGTAGCCTCAGTACAAAATGTTCTGCTCTTTCGCTGATACTTTTATTCAGCCAAAATGTAAATTCTGGGTCTTCTTCTCTTTATTTTCTGTAATGTAAACTAGTTATCCAAAACTACCACCGTGGCAGCTGTAATGTTGGAGGAACATAACCCGTGATCTTTATGTCATGGTTTATCATAAAGATTTAGTTGGACTTTCAGTTTTTTGAATTATTATCTGTTTCAGTTGTCTGTATATTTCCAATTCAAAATATAATGGAGTTTCCTTGTACAAATTGGTAAGGATGAGATAACGAGTGGAAAGTAATTACATAAAGTTAAACACCTTATTTTTTAATACATTAAGTCCATCCATCCCTGTAGCGCTACAGCGCATGTAGGGCTTTGACCTGTCTCACCACATCCTTCCACTCAGAACTAACTGACGCTTTTCTTTTTCCATGGTTGGATTCTCAGCTGCTGTAGATCCCTCTCCACATTATGGATTAAATGGAAACATTTAAAATAGAAGCCATTGCTTCAGAGACCACTCCTGGGGTTAAGAATTATTTATAGAAACAATAATGCATAAGTTATTTCTCTAGAAACTTTGTGTTTCCTTCATGGTTTTCAACCACCTTGGCCCAGAATAGGAAAGTTTAAAAAAAAGTATTTTAATTACTGCACATTTTTTTCCCTAACATTTTGCACACCAGGGCGTTAATGTGAATGCGAGGACCTACAACGGTGACACAGCCAGATCCCTAGCTCTCAATCATGGCTACATAAAAATAGCCAGCCTCATCGACAACCACACTCTGCCGCTCTCTCTCAGATCAGATACAGGTCAGTTGCCATGACTCTCTCAGATGAGATGCAGGTCAGTTGCCCTGAGTGTGATATTAAATCAATGTAAAGTGGGCAAGAGTTTTGAGACAGTGAAAGGTTGTTCCATTTTATTTTTTGGAAATTCTAATTTTTTAAAATCCTGTTTCATTAGGATGAAAAAAAAACTAATTTGGGTGATTACAGTGTTGTGCGGCTCAGCATGAATGTTTTTGAGAGACTAAATATGGGATCAAGAAAGTGTTTTTGTTGGTTTTTTTTTTTTGTAGAAAATTAAAGAACTAAGAGCCACATTAAAAAGTCATTGTCTTTATGGGGGAAGAAATCTCTGCCTGAAAAGTCATTGTCTTTATGGGGGAAGAAATCTCTGCCTGAAAGTCATTGTCTTTATGGGGGAAGAAATCTCTGCCTGAAAGTCATTGTCTTGATGGGTGAAGAAATCTCTGCCTGAAAAGTCATTGTCTTTATGGGGGAAGAAATCTCTGCCTGAAAGTCATTGTCTTTATGGGGGAAGAAATCTCTGCCTGAAAGTCATTGTCTTTATGGGGGGAGAAATCTCTGCCTGAAAGTCATTGTCTTTATGGGGGGAGAAATCTCTGCCTGAAAGTCATTGTCTTTATGGGGGAAGAAATCTCTGCCTGAAAGTCATTGTCTTTATGGGGGAAGAAATCTATGCCTGATAGATTACTATAAAGGCCTGTGGGACATAATATAAAATTTGTTACCCTGTTAGTTCTGTTTCCAAAAAACGGATACATTTTTTGTTCTCTTCTACTCTTGCAGGCTTGTACCACAGCTCAAATGCTGGAACGTGTGATAGGAGGCAACAAACCAAGCACAATCTCCGCCTCAAGTCACAGGGTCCCAGCATACGTGACGGCCCAGAGGCCATTGCAAGAATGATTGATAGAACGAGGCACACGGACGCAGTCTCGTGGACCAAACATGTGGATACTGCAACTTTTCCAGGTCAAATAACAACATACCTTCTTGCACAGTT